ATAAGAAACAAAGCACAGGTATAGAATAGATAACCCAAACATGACAGAGATGATTTAGGAGATTGGATCAGTGTTGTTATAATCAAGAACCAGACATCCTCCTTGGTCTCATTATGCCAAAAAATTTGATTCCACAGTATTGTAAAAATCTTTGTTCTAGAAATGTTGCAGATGAATCGTATTAGCTATGCCATAGTCGGTTATGAGTAAAAGTTGTGTAAGCCAAGTGCCTTTGATATTTAGATAACACAATATTGTTAGTAAATATTTCTCTATTACAGCATTTAATTTGTATGTAACCTCATTTAGTAGTAGATGCAATATCCTGCTACACTAGAGCGATCTTCTCTTTAACTTGTCTTGTTGACAGTATTAGACTTTAATCAGAACTCCAGAGTTCAAATCCTAGTGGAGACATTAAAATAGGTTATAATCCTTATGGCATTGGCACTCATGTAGAGGGTTGGGAATAATACTTGGTGTTATTATCATAAATATTGCTGTAATCTCTGGGAATTCAAGCACATGTTCCTTGAGGGAGAGTATGTCACCCTGGTAAAAACAATTTGTAATATAACACTAAGCTAGAGAGATCTTCTCTTAAGCTTCCTCAACCCAGACATACATTTTTTGTATATAAAATAACGAATCATGGTAATATGAAAAAAAAAAAAAAGTTGAAAATAATTAGTAAAAAATACTGAAATGCTTTCCTTTACTATAATGGTGAAGTGAAACCTTTTCCCTTTACTATAATGGTGAAGTGAAACCGTTTCCCTTTACTGTAATGATTAAGTGAAACCTTTTCCCTTTACTGTAATGGTAGTAAAAACCTTTTCCATTTACTATAATGGTGAAACCATTTCCCTTTACTGTAATGGTAGTAAAAACCTTTTCCATTTACTATAATGGTGAAACCTTTTCCCTTTACTGTAATGGTGAAGTAAAAACCTTTTCCCTTTACTGTAATGGTGAAACCTTTTCCCTTTACTATAATGGTGAAGTAAAAACCTTTTCCCTTTACTGTAATAATTAAGTGAAACCTTTTCCTTTACTATAATGGTTAAGTTAAAGCCTTTTCTCTTTACTCTAATGGTTAAGTGAAACCTTTTCCATTTACTCTAACGGTTAAGTGAAAGCCTTTGTCCCACCAAAATATAAAGTGACTTCACTTTAGAATGGCAGGGGTTCATTTCACCTAAATGGTAAAGTGAACTGCCCACTTCACTAAATGGTAAAGTGAACCACCCACTTCACTAAATGGTAAAGTGAACTGCCCACTTCACTAAATGGTAAAGTGAACTACCCACTTCACTAAACGGTAAGGTGAACTGCTCAGTTCACTAAACGTCAAAGTGAACTGCCCAGTTTTCTATACGGTCAAGTGAACTGCCCAGTTCACTAAATGCTGAAGTGAACCGCCGAGTTCACTTTACCACTGGCTTCACTTTATTATACTTTACCAGGTTCAACATCTAATGGAGGCATCAAAATAGATAATGATCACTGTTATTTTGACCATGGCCTTTTGTAGGAGAGTTACTCTCTTTGCATGGCTGCACGAATATACTGGTATTTACTGTTGAAATAGGACAAAGCATATTTACATGTATAGCATAATAAGAGTAATTTAATGTTTTTCAAAATACTAAATCTGTTTTTTTCCCCTTGTTTTCTGCTTAAAAGTTAAATCTACCTTTACATACTGCCCCTACAGATGTTTACCTATACAGATGAGACAGGCAAGGTGTATCAATAAGCTGTAACATGTCCAGTTTCAAAATAAAATGGGTCAAACACTTATTTTACATAATGTTATATTAGTGGTCTTAAAATATACTCCATGATATATGATATTGTCTGACCAAGTGTTATAGATTCCTCAGTGTCATGACATCCGTTTACAAAAATTGTGTCACAGCAATCAAGTTATGTGTGAAGACAATCAGGGTTTATTGAGATTTTGTAAATTTTCTTTCCATCAGTCTCATATTCTTTGCATCAGGAGCAAAATATATTTATTCTTTGAATTCATAATAAAAAGACAATGTGCTTCCTCCAATATTGTTATCATCAAAGTGTTGTCCCGTGTTAGAGATACTGTATTTATATGTCATTAACTTAATGTATACATGTGCAATGGTGTGTGATTTCTGTCTGTAATTGTTCTTGGAATGTAACATATATACCGGTACTTGTTATATAATACTGTATGATCTTAACTTGTTACAGTTTATTTATTATTATTTACATTTAATTTAATCTTTAATTACTTAAATATTTTTATTTCTGTTTTATATACTCTAACATCTGTTGTTATCTTTGCCAAAAAGGGAAATGTAAACAAAAACATCAAAATCTTTCATTATACAAAGCTTGTTAGCCAAAATTTTCTCTAGACTTTCCCATGAAGTGCACCAAAAAGGATTTTAATAAATAGTCCTTATTTATGAATATTGTTTGTGTTATATTTAGGTATTACTGGCCAGTTATAATAAGCGTGTCCGACTAATTAAGGTTGTGATAATATGGACATATTTAGGTCTGTCTGAATATTCTAAAGATGGAGAAGAAAAAGAAGAAGTATGTACATAATGTAATATGACACTAAAATATGATCTAAAAACGGAAAACAACGAAAGAAGATGAGGGAGAGAACATACAGAAAAGACAACACCTAGAAAACAGTAGGTAACAAACCGGATTGACAAGCAAAAGCATAAGGGACATCAACAACATATACAGAAGATAGAGACGTCAAAGCAAAAGGGAAACCAACAACATATACAGAAGATAGAGACATCAGCAAAAGGGAAACCAACAACATATACAGAAGATAGAGACATCAAAGCAAAAGGGACACCAACAACATATACAGAAGATAGAGACATCAAAGCAAAAGGGACATCAACAACATATACAGAAGATAGAAACATCAAAGCAAAAGGGACACCAACAACATATACAGAAGATAGAGACGTCAAAGCAAAATGGAAACCAACAACATATACAGAAGATAGAGACATCAAAGCAAAAGGGACACCAACAACAGATACAGAAGATAGAGACATCAAAGCAAAAGGGACACCAACAACAGATACAGAAGATAGAGACATCAAAGCAAAAGGGACACCAACAACAGATACAGAAGATAGAGACATCAAAGCAAAAGGGACACCAACAACATATACAGAAGATAGAGACATCAAAGCAAAAGGGACACCAACAACAGATACAGAAGAAATAGACATCAAAGCAAAAGGGACACCAACAACATATACAGAAGATAGAGACGTCAAAGTAAAAGGGATACCAACATTATAATTTATGAGTAGAAAGGTAAAACCATGATCAGGAGTCAACGAGACATCAGTTCATGTTGAAAGACAAAAAAACTGAGTAGGCACAGTTACAATTGGAAAGAAAAACATAACAAACTGGTAAGAAACCAAAATCAAATTGGAGGTTGTTATGTGATGTTAAAGATAACCGGATGTTTTGATGCCGCAAAAAAGATGGGAAATTCCGATACCCCACGTGTGTTGACATCTATACAGAGCTACATTGAGTGACGTGCCACAAGTCTTTCACTTTAAAAAAATACTATATTTTCTTTGTATTTCTAACTTTTATTCAACGAATTTTTCTGACTTCGTTCTAGGATCACTTTTAATGAAACTTTGCACACTAATGGATAATTGTTTCATCTGAAACACAGCCCCTCGAGAGACAAATACAGAAACGAAGGTTGTCTTCTTGACAGGTATTCTTAATCTTCAGACAGCGAGGTCACATAGAGAGTGGACAGGTCGGTGGTCAGGAGAGCGGAGCCTGGCGTGCTGCTTGGTCTCTAGAATCAGACTCTGTTTACAAATTGTACCGTGCCTTTTATACACATAGGGCTGCGATCATTGTCATCATGCCCGATGGTTATAGCGATCGCAATACCTTATCTTGGAACAAATATGTCCAACTTTCCTAATACAGTAGCCAAAGGTTATTATGATGAAGGTGATACAGTACGGCAGTACTTACTGTTTACCACCTGTTAACATTAAATTAATATTGGACAGTTGCTTACTACTCTGGACGCGATCATTTCAATGATCTGCAGGCCTACACCTGTGCAACACATCCCCGCTGTACCAGTCCACCGACAAACATGTATCTATTTATCTATATATCTATATATTCATCCAAATAGTTTATACAACATGATTACACTTAATTTTCGCTTATTGTTTAAATAACCTCCAAATATTGACTTTGTTACACATATCATATTGTTTCCATATTTTTGGGATGCCATTTTGACGGCAGTTTGGTAACCATATTTAGGAAAATGGCGTCACATGGAAATTAGCAGTGTAGATAATTTTGTATACCTTGTGAAATAAACAACAGGAAATTAAATGGATATTGTGAGAACAAACTATGGATATCATTGTACAAAATGGCCAAGTATTCTCAAAATCCGTCCCTAAACGAAGTCGAGAAAATTCACGGAAAAGGTGTTGGAAATATAAAGAATAACTATCATAAAATAACGAAGAAACGCGAATGACCTATGCCATGTCACATGAAAGAAATATAGGTACTGTTTGTTAAATAGTCAAACAACAGTTATCTAATGTTTACAGAAAACATTTACTATAAAATCTATACAAAGGCCACTCCAAAGTAAATATCTGTTTACCAAACCTTACAACGTTTTATTGGTGATCTAGAATGAACAATGACACCCGACTTCACCCTATGACGATTTAATTATATGATTTGACAGTAGTTATCATCAGACTTGGATGTGTAACATCTAACACTAAGTACAAGGATTTCCCAAGAATAACATATTCTATCATGAAATAACACACAACAATGTAAAGTGACACTCGTATATCATTCACGGACAACATTTTTTTTCTCTGTTGCGATATTGATGGCTGGTAAATCCCTCATAAGTCTAGTCATTACACATGTTTATCTAAGCTAGTGACGAAGATTTACTTTTTGGTTGTCTTCTGACCTCGCTGTGGCATGTTTACACCAATGGTCACTGTGCGCGGCACCAGTGTTTTTGGTGAGATCGCTTTGTCTGAAGATTTCAGGTCATCCATGGCGGCAAATATGGCATCCAGCTTGGTGTTTTGTCTCTCCAAAGCCTCTTTATATTCACTTTCTGCTGAATTATGCCTCTGTGACGTAATATCCGTTTGTATTTTGGCGTACATTTCTTCTGCTTCCTGTTTGATTTTTTCTGCCTCTCTCACCTTGTCTTCCAGTTCACGTTCTAGTTTCGTGTTCTCTACTGTCAATCGTTCGATTTCTGCTCTATCCTGATTTTCATTATCCCTGGCAACTCGAACTTCACCATTTAAATCAAGAACCTGGTCCTGAAGACCTGATATTCTGCGACGCAACTCTTCATTTTCCTTACGTAGACCTACATTATCCATGTTCATTTGAGTCAGTTTTTTCCATCGTTCATTTTCCTTGTCTCTCATCTCGCGTTGTGTGCTTTTCAATTTCTCGTATTTCTCCCTCAGACGTTGGTACTCAACGTTGGACTGATGGAGTTTATCTACACATTCTTTGAGATGATTAATGGCTTCCTCGTTCCTCTGAAGCAGTTCGTCCTTCTGGTCACACCAATCCTGCTGAAACAAATTAAACTTTTCCTCAATTCGCTTGTCCATGTCTTCTTGATAATGGCGACGCTCTTTCTCTAACTGCACTGCGAAGTTTTCTGTCATTTTCTCACAAAACTGGGCCAGCACATTAGTCATCTGAAAGGTCATGTCTTGTTGGACCATATTAGGCACGCGATGTGTCCCAGAAGCAGCACCAGCGCCCTCATTCACATTTCTTGTCTGAAATTGTCAATAGAAAACAGCATGTACGCATTTCTATAATATCAAAATCATCTCATACATAACATTTTGATAAATGTACACCCCCTCCACTTCTATACTTTCAACTTTGGACAGGTGTAGACTCAATTGCCTTTCCGTTTGTATTTCCACAACATTTTGCTGTCTACCATCACTGACTTATCCTAAAAGGACGAAACGTGCGAGGTGCAGTTCCATTCATAAACCTTTAACGAAATAAATCATTGGTGTTGTCTAGGTCAAAACACAAATGACACTGTTGCTTTTTAGCCTAAGTTACGGACAATCGTTATCATGTGATCTTAGCTGTCGCAAAGACGTGCAGATACTAACAAAGCTGAGGTGATTACCTGATGATGAACGACTGCTTGACGACTGCTTGGCCTCGCCTCGCGGCTTCCAGGTATGTATGCCGATGTTCTCGGGATCTGGTACGGGTCTACAGGAAAAGATTAAAAACAATGGCCATAAAAACGGGGTCTACTTTAAGAACTTCTACACCTACTTGACCAATGACATTTTCTAACATTTGCAAGCTCGGTTACCACCACTACTATTAATGTCATTATTAAAGATTGCTCGTGTTCTTCAGGAAATAGTACACATGATGTAATTATTTAAAACATTGTGATATAGAAAGAATACTAAGTATCTCGCATATCATAATATATTTCATATAAGATACAAATATCTCGTTATCTTGCATTTTTTAGTAAATATTTCATATGAGAAATCTTAATAGAAGCAGGGTCTGAAATATTTTTTTTACTTTTATAGGAAATTTTATGAAACAAGTCGAGTAAAAGAATGTCGAGACGAGTTTCGTAAAATCTCATATGAAATGAAAACATTAAAGACACAATTTTACCACATAACTCAGCAAAGATACATTTTGAAATGGGTTTTACATGTGCATGACCTAATCATACGAAGCAGCCAGTTCTTGCGCCTTTTTCGATTCATGACGTAATGTCATTGTCCAGATTATGACATCACAATTGATTTCGGACCGGTGTAGCCAATGAAATACGAGCCAGGATATATTACACGTGTGATATTTTACATGGGCGGATTCGCTGGATACCAGGCGAATTATGTGATAAATCTTAAACGTTTTACAAAGTATATTTCGATATTGTTTTTAACTGCTAGTTTTACAGAGCTGACGACGATTCAACTAGACCATGCTCTGGCGCTGTAACCGAATTACTATCATATATAGTTATAGAGTGTCTGTTCTATCGTTGGAGCTAACTGGACCGTAGCTTCTGTGTGGTTAAGTACCTTTGTAAAGATTATCAGAATATTCTTAATTACCTCTCAGTTTTACTTACTGCGAAACCATCTACTTTCATGGGGCTCTGTTTTCGAGGTTTTTCAAAAATTAGTTTTTCTTCAACATTCATTTCATTGGAAAATATAGCTCAATATATCAACTTATACTATTTTTTAAGAGTTTGTGGAAATATTATTAAGTAGATTACGAGAGCCGACGAAATCAACACAAACAGATCCTCTAGGAAAATGAATTATATTACAATATGTTATTTAGTAGCGGCGAGTCGTGTGACTATATTACAATATGTTATTTAGTCGCGGCGAGTCGTGTGACTATATTACAATATGTTATTTAGTCGCGGCGAGTCGTGTGACTATATTACAATATGTTATTTAGTCGCGGCGAGTCGTGTGACTATATTACAATATGTTATTTAGTCGCGGCGAGTCGTGTGACTATATTACAATATGTTATTTAGTCGCGGCGAGTCGTGTGACCAGACACACGCAAATGTAGTGATGGATAGATATCCAATAAAGATCTTATGATTTTTTTTAGTTTACAATCATATTCAAAATGATTCACTTTCTACAGGCTAAAGCAAAATAACAATTTCATAACTATCGTTCAGTAAATATAAGAAACCCAGCAAAGAATATAACGACATTTCAACAGAATCGTAATTCAAGTTCAAATTCGATGAAAAAAGAGGAAAAAATGATAAAAAGAAAGATCTACAGGGAGTACTAGAGAAAGTATAAGGAGAATGAGACCAGACATTCCAGAAGAATATCAGTCTTCTGCTTCTTGAGCGATACAAAAACGACAAAGAGGGAGAAAATACCTGTACGTTAAAGAATCTTTATCCAAATTCAATCAAATGTGACAAAATATGAAAAAAGAAAGATTCAAACGGAGACTTCTAAAAACGTACAATAGGAATAAGACCAGGGATCCCTGATGAGTAAGCTTCTTGTGTATGAGAAGCACTAGGAAGTATTAGAATGTTCGATATCACAGAAGAAGACTTCCAATGTAATTATGGCCCGAAAGACATGATACGCACTTTTTTTATAACACAGATAAAAAAAAAACAGTAATATTTGTAATTGTTATCATATTAGAAGCTGAAACTGATTTAAAGACCAGAGAAATGTATCAGGCAGATATAGAAAGCTATTCGTAAAAATTAGAACGTGTGACCTGAAACGGTTACGGCCCGTTTGAAAAATATACCTATACCTGTATATACAACAAAGATCATGTAAAATAAAAGTCTTGTAGTTGAAAATGAAGAACACGTCCGTATTTTATAAACCAGCAAGCTAAGAAATCTTATCACATATACAAATTATAGATTAAATATTAATACATCGGATGTCGAAACCCTGATCAATAGACTAAAATAGGAAAATACATTCATGCTTCTGGCTCATACAATCCTTATAATTACGTACGTGTACTTTTCTTACTTGAATCTATTGTTGCAGTAAGTTTTAGTTATTAACCAGGTGTAGACCGTCGTGTACAACTATCGCCTTTATCGATCCTTTGTCGTTTCATAACCCAGCATGTGCTTTTAACCTAATGTTTACGTTACAAAATTTGTCCTGCATTGAACACATCCAAATGTTTAAATACAATTTAATCAATGGGCCAGCAACATGAATACACAAGTTATACGACAAATCTATGAATTCTATCTCAAACAAATGTTCAGTAATGAAAGGATTATTCTCGATATACAATGTTTGGGTATTATCAAACTTGGCAGTATTCACCCGTGTGTTAGAAAAAACAATTACAAATATTCGTATGTAAAATATGCCCATGATATTGTAAAATTTAATGGATAATAATTTGGTAACACACTATATAGTTCTTGGCTTGTATTGTGTGATTAGTGTGATATTGTAATAGACATCTACTTAATGTTTTATGGAGAAATGTGTTTAAATGGTATTAGTATGGATGTGATGTATACATCTTGTTGTGTTTAAAATTGCCTAACTAACATTGTGTGTAAAATGGTTTTCATATCACTATACTGTACATGGCGCGAGTAATATTTTCTAAAATGTTACTCTATAATTTATGGTATGGCGTGAGTAATACTATATTATCTTTACACTGAATGAGATGTGTGTAATAGTGTCTACCACAGTTGTATATTTGATTTGAATGTTGACCTCTTGTACATGATAGTGTGTCTGAGTGATGACTAAAATCTTTGAAATCTTTGTTAGTCCGAATCGTTCTAAGTAACCGCGATTTGACTTTCTGTTCTTTGTCACGGTCGACAGTCAGAATTATTTGGACTAGTTTTATATGGAAACTTAAGTGATTAAAACACGTTCTACCAAAAGACATTGTATCTAATACATACTCTCCTTGACGACCGTGTTTTGTAGTTTATCCACGATGAATTGATGTCTCTCTGCCTGTAGAGCCTCGATAAATACATGGTAAGCACTGGGTTCGGGAGAGGCCAACAGAACTGATATAAACTCGTTGAACTTCCTTTGGTTGGTGGGACAAGCAATTTGTTCGATCTGGTTCCTGTGTCCCATTGTGAGAACATCCCGCTCTATCAGGAGGTCGAGAATTGGGTCAAGGTCAATCAGTCTTTCTTTCAGACAAGTGATGTTCTGTGTAATTCTTTTCTTCTGCTCCCTGTTCATTATAATTCCGGATTTGCTACAAATGTCTCTTTTTAAACAAAAACCACACCGACACAGATCTACATGTCTCCAACTGTTTTCTTCTCTTCCCTGTGTATATGATATTGTATTGTTGCAAACTCCAAACTCCGTTTTACTTCCCGACACGTAATCCAAGTTTCTCTAACTAAATTCACCAGAAATTTCCAAGTCTAGAACGGAAAAGTTTACATATGTCATTCTAAATGTCACAAGACATCGATTATCGATTTCACATTTCGCACAATATCTATGTTGATAGAGAGACGTTTAAGATGGCCATTCTGATTGTCAGGCAAGATAAACGAGCTTGGTTTAGTCGAGACCTCAAACTTGGCAAGTGTCTACCGTTTTGCAGAGTTACCTGGTATGAAGACCCCGGATACGATATTTACTTACGTTACCACTGTCACAAGAACACTTATTTTTTATAATGCCTTGTCGAATATGTGCGACATATTTACTAGACAAACACTTGAGACTTTAAACAACCTACCTGCTAAATGACAATTTGTGATATATATACCACCTCTCACACTTGTAAGTTTCCATTATTCACCACACAATGTCACTGCAATACAAACATTGTCTCGTTGTACTGAAGCCAAAACGACCGAGAAAATCCATTGAATTGCGACTTTTTTCAAAATTTTTGACAAGTGGTATTACAATAAAGCTCTCAGCGAGACCATTTTGAGATAATTTGTTGCTAATACGTTTCAGTTTGAAGACAACGTTTCTTTATATTTGATATTAAAAATACCCATAGTTAAACAATACTTCCGGGACGTTTACTAAGGGCTCACTGCTCTGCAGGTAGGACGAAAGAATTCTTCCTACCTGCTATACCCCTATAGACTGATCAGTGAGAGGCAACTAAATCTGGGATCTGGTATTTCATACATCTTTCTAAACAATTATTTGTTCATAATCGTGGCCTATAGTTGAGCGTTTGTCCACGTGATGAAGGCTTTCAGTGTTCCCCCGTTTGAGTCAAACCAGAGCTATTAGATATGATAGTGATTACTCTTTGCTTAACGCATCGCACTGCAAGAAGCAGAGCAACAATTGGTTGTCGGAGTAATGAGACTGGGGCCCTTCGGAAGTGTATTTCAGTGTGGTAGCACTATACAGTCGGCATGAGTTCGGCACAATCACAACTAAGGAGGTTTGCATGCCTGTTTTCGGCACAATTCACTCGCCTCTCATTGATTACAAAGCCGGATTACTTCTGGCTGTCTATATCCAACAAAAACATAAAATTTCCAGCCACCTATAAATTTGTCCTGGTCAAGGTCACTGCTTTCTATTTGGAGTTTGACATGCTTAGAGATTTCTTGATGAAGCATTCACTAGCATCCGATAACTCATTTACACCAGACACCTGTATCTGTAACGTAAATAACACGAGCACAATTCCAGTCGCCTATAGCAGCATACTATTTTTGGTTCTTTTGTTTACGTTCCAGATACAGCTGCCTGCGTTTACATCAAGGAAAGGACGGTTGCTACTTGGTTGCTACGGTATCTGTGATATCCTATAGTCTCATGTATAACAGTTTAAAGATGTGTACGAATCCATTTTCTTACATCGACAGTTTCCGATTAGCCTGAAAAAGGCCTGAGAGACGGTATCAACAATCCTTCTTATGAACCTGGATACATACCTAAGATGGATGAGCTCGATGTTACACGGTTGAGCTCCCTAAGCGGCTGAAGAGCTGTAATTTTACCTTTTATAAACAACTGGCGGTTTCCCCAGGTTTATTGTTTTAAAGGATATATACTTCTTACACACTCTTCAAAAATGTACACATCGGTTTTGTCACAATAGCTAAAGTGAAATAATAAGTTGAAATTTATTGCCAGACTTTAAACACTGGGGATATTTTCTAGTCCCTGCAATTTGTCTTGCTATCTTGACGACCTTATCTACAACCAAAGTCTTGTTCCGTGATGTAGCCGTGTGTCAAACTTTCTAGTGATTTACTTTTCAGAAGGTAAGGGCTGAAGACGGCAGTCAATTTTTTTTTGCGAAATCCGCTTTTCTTTTCTTGATTTCCAGCACCTCTGGGTTTGTTTCCTTCGCAATCTTTTCGGAGATTTATAGCATTCTGTGCCTAAGTATATTTAAAGTACATATAGATTCTACTGTTATTTATCTGTCTATGTAACTTATACAATATCGTTTAAATCTATTCCAAATGTTGTATAGTTGCTCGACTTCACAACTGTGAAATTTCGCTATTTTATGTCTACACCATTTTCGCGGTGAAACATTTTTGCGGATCACATTTCCAAGCGATTATAAGACTCTGATGTCATATATCAATGTAAAAGCTAAAGATTTTACCCTCAACCGAGAAGAAGTGATCTTTTATAAGGGTGGCAGAAAGATCAAAGACAGGACTCTGGAATAAGAGGCCCGTTCAATGCTACTAAGTTGTAGATCAAATACCGTGACCTTGTGCCTTCATTGAGCTTGGAAAAATATGCTCATTCATCCAGCTTGCTACTGTTTAAATAGTATTACATGGGCCTCGTGGATCTTTATAAGTCTTTTCTGAAAATAGAATTATTTTAACGCATTTTTACTCTTTGACACTGAAAGTGGGTCAAGGAAATTAATTTATAACATAGCATGTTTCAGTTCTCGATCGATCAGAGCACCGTTTCTCCACATCACCTAAAACGGCAGTACTATCAAGCGTCTTTCTAAATCAGTCAATTACCAGATTAATTGTGACAGAGGTGAAATCCGCTGCTTAGATTGGTAAAAAAGCTTATGGGATGAAGGATTCTGGCTAGTTTTTCGTCTTATAGTTGTGAGCTAACCTTTGTCGGTACCTTGTAACTCCAGTGTTTTGTCTCGCTTTTTATGCCTAAGTACACACTTTCGCAGGGACTCACAATGAAGGCTTTAAATAAATTTTGTGTTAAAATTACACAGAAATATACATCCAGGTTTTTACATGTAATCATAGATCCTACTACAGCCTTTGCTGCACCTGATACCGTGTTTTTGGATTACGTGGAATAACTAGGTAATAGATGTATTGAATATTAGCACTCCCAAATACGGTATCTGCACGTTCCCACTGCTTTATCAGTCAATATTCTTGCGGTTGATAGCCTTGAACATCCCATTAACATATCTGAATCCCTGCCGTTATATCAGCTGATGTGTTTGGCGGAGTCGTCTTTTCTCCTCCTCGTCAGTAAAACAGCATATTCAGAGATTGGGCACGATCCTTTTACGACACACTTTCAACCAACAGTTTGTAAAATCGCTCCATTTTGTTTTCTCCATTATTTCAATACAATAGTTGAGTTGAAGTTAATTCAAAGGCGTTTAAAACATTAAGATGTAGTAGAAGAAAGTCTCCGAAACCAAATAATTCGCTTTTACTATAATACAAAATTTCAAATTCCCGAAAAAAAAAAAAAAAAATCGAACAGATTTCAGTCGCACAGGAAGGCGAAAAGCAGAAAAACGCACCTGCATATTTAAAAGCCGAACTGAATTTCCACAATAGGCATTCTAACCTACACATATATTCCTTGTCCAAACTGTTTTTTTGCATCACATCATTGACCAGAAAATGTTACTTGACCGGAAAATCTATCTGCACTTCAAATATGGTATTAAGGTAATTTGCTAATAGTGGTAAGGAAGTTAAAATGCGAAACTTTGGTACAAAGTGTAATCTAGTCTGCATGAGATGTATTGTAAAGACTGAAAACAAGCAGAACTCAATATAAACCAAAACCATGTAATTTCCAAACAATTTTTATTCAACGAAAGTCTCAAATTCACGTGACTGGTGAGCTGGGTAGCACTAAAACTAACATCAAGAGGCCATGATAATTGTTTGAGATTGCGGAATGTGACAAGTCAAGCTGAAAAAGAACAAAATAAAACATGTGCATGGGAATGTCTGTAAAGGTTCGTCTTCATTTCATTTTCTTTCTAAATTCAATAAAACAAATTTTCCAAATTTTGAATTAAAGGCTTCCTCGCCTTTTTTTTTTTACAAATTCAAATATGTAAGCCAAATCGATCTTTGGCCATATGACAATATGACCCAACTACAAATATGATATAGGCAAAGAATCGCCGAGAATGGAGACAGTAATGGTGGAAGTAGCATGATAAATTAATACTGGAGGTCAACCCAAGGTCATACAAATGAATACAGGACACTCCATCCAAAGTAGCACTAATACTGGAAAATGAACAAAAGGTCACACAAATTCTTGACAGACAATCAAAGGTCACACATGAATTCTGGATGGTTAACATAAGATCACACATACTGACTGGACTGTCAACACAAAATTTAACATGAATACTGGACAGTCTATATAACATCACACACATGAATACTACACAGTCTATATAACATCACACACATGAACACTACACAGTCTATATAACATCACACACATGAACACTACACAGTCTATATAACATCACACACATGAATACTACAGTCTATATAACATCACACACATGAATACTGGACAGTCTATATAACATCACACACATGAACACTACAGTCTATATAACATCACACACATGAACACTACACAGTCTATATAACATCACACACATGAATACTACACAGTCTATATAACATCACACACATGAAAACTACACAGTCTGTATAACATCACACACATGAATACTACACAGTCTATATAACATCACACACATGAACACTACACAGTCTATATAACATCACACACATGAATACTGGACAGTGTATATAACATCACACACATGAATACTGGACATTCTATATAACATCACACACATGAATACTACACAGTCTATATAACATCACACACATGAATACTACAGTCTATATAACATCACACACATGAATACTACACAGTCTATATAACATCACACACATGAGCACTACACAGTCTATATAACATCACACACATGAACACTACACAGTCTATATAACATCACA